TTCATCTCAGTCTCCAAATCGTTGAAGGCCGCACCTAGACCGACTCTAATGATAAGAATAGACGAAGTAATACCCTAGATAGGTAATTAACTGAGTACTAGGATTGATATCATGTAAAAGACTCACAGCGACTGAACTCCAAGCGTGTGTCATGATCTCCTTGAGCGGCACTACATTCAAAGCGATACTGGCAGTGAACGAGAAGATAAATGCTGAATAAATTATTCCGGATTCAAGTCTATTCAGATTAGACTCGCGTGAATGGGACAGATTGAGAGCAATTATGCAAGGAGCTCACGTTGCAGAAATCACTGTTCTGTACACGTTTCGCTTTCGCGGTTGGATGTATTGCGCCACTCTGCGATCGGTTGAAAAGATTTTGAACACTATGGAGAACATTGGTTACAGTAAGCTATGAAATGAAAGGTACTTTACCGATGAGCGAAGAGAGGATTAAATTATTTACAGCGATTAACGGGACTCCAATAGGTGCAACCCCGAGAGGCGCTGGAAGAACGATGTGAGTGATGATATCACGACCTGAACGAGTGAAATTTACCATGGCTGACTACGGATAATAAGATAGGAAAGGCAATGACCTCCCAGTCTCTTCCCCAAACTACAAAACACCGCCATATCTACCGGTAATAGTTAGGTTACTTTCGAGGGATTTGATTACGGAACACAGATTACCAGAATGGAGTCGGCTACGAAACTGAATAAAACTCGGTAAGCATGGTAGAAATAGGTTAAATCTGGGATACCGACCTACAGGCACCTCCAACGACAAAGCTTAACAGAAATCCATCATCGTTCGTACCACAATCGTGAAGATCGTTCGAATCTGCTATTACAGTGTTTATAAGACTCGCGAAGGAACCAAGGAATATCAATGTATTGGCAAGTAGATTGTAGTTTCGCGATGGTGGAGTCTTCTTCAACAGAATATATGTGCAGATCCCATAAGTGACTACGTGGGCACCTTGCAAAAATGAAAGTGTTATAGATTGTATCACGGAGAAAGAGCTCACTGAATAATATGGCCTGAACCTGAGTCGCCGTAAGAGCAGTGAACATAGACCAATTTGCTTTTCCTTGAGACACAAAACATGAGGATGTCGCCAGCATTTCGAGAATTTCGTGGCAGACAGGATCCCAAGTCAGCTATGTAGTGTTATATTAAGGACATCGGATGTAATGATCATCACTGTGATGTACGGCACATTTGTGCATGTGCACCCCTCGAATCAAAGGCTTGATTGAATGATTTGATGGGTGCATCAAGAGTCCTTTTGAGGGCACCTCGAGGCCTGGCCTTGCATACAGTGAAGAAGCCTCCGGGAGGCTTGATTCAATGGACGTCATCATTCATATCTAGAATCCAAGGGGCAAGAATAAAAGTATTGTGCGAGGAACTGGAATCTCATTATATTACTTAGCTGAGGCCCTCTTTCAATTGCAAGTGGCTCAAAAACCAAGTCTTCGTTTACCCAGTCGTCACCATCGGTCGTCGTTGCGTCTATACATTTGTCGAGCTCAGGAGCTAAACAAAAGTCGTGAATGAAATATCAGGAATCGTGATTGATTATAATCTCGACGATCACTTACCATATCAGATACGATTTCAACGCGGGATATGCAATTACATCAATACCTGTGAAGCTGCTACCTAAATACAGCTTATGTGCCGCTAAGAACAAGGTTTTGCACGTACTGCCTGTCCCCTACCATCAGTTCTAATCTTCTATGATCCATTTCGAGACAGGACAAACCGAGGGAAGCCGCTTGTGTTCCTTGTCCTACTTTGAGCACTCACTAAGTACATAGATACAAATGCGAAAACGACACTGGCTGCCCCGAGCAACAATAGATGGTCGGAGAGCGCCAATGAGACGAGTAGTACGGAGAGATCATGACACAATACGTCTGATTCGATGAATGTACGAACTTGGAAACCTTCCGACGAATCCAAATACTAAGCCTACTATGTCCGCTTTGCAACCGCCTTCGCTCTGCTAACTAGGCGATGAATACAACAAACGGTTCAAGGTTGACTATGCGGTGAAGATATCTGACTATGGACATTCGTGAGAAAAGGATGATCGCAGACTGATGGAACAGTAAACTCGCCAGTGAGGAACTATCAATTATCTGCTGACTCCGAAGCGAACAAGCTACCGTACCAGTGATTCCTATTGCACTCTAGCGCCTGGGTGTGGGTTCCGGCTGTGGATCTGTCATGGTCGGTGCCGAGGCAGTCTCATCCCAGCAACTTGGCTCGTTGATTGACAGCCCTTCACGACTAGATTCTATCGACCAGATACAAAGGAAAGTCCTTTTACGTTCGTGATTGTCCAGACTCGATATCATGTCCAATAATGATGACTTCATTCAGGTCTGATCTGCCTTCTTCTGCCCTTGGACTATGGTCAACTGCTTTGCTTTGGGATAGACTTGTTGGAAGATCTGTTTCCAGTGCCCCGGCCGTCATCATCTCGGTCCTCAAGTCATTGAACGCAATGTCAAGGGTAACACGAACAATCACAATAGACGCAGTAATACCCTGAAAAAAAGATGGGTATCGTCAGATAATGAATAGTGCACAAGCACTCACGGCAAGTGAAGACCATATTCTAGTCAAGATAATCCCAATTTGAGGGTGGCGCCGTGATTGGTTATCACCGAGGAAGACAGCAAGGGTAACGAGGAATGTGGAATAAACGAGTCCGGACTCGAGTCTATGGTTTCTGATAAATGACTGAAGAGTGCTTAAAGTGATAATCCTTACGTCGCAGCAAGTACGATTCTCTGCACATTCCTTGATTTTTTGCCTAAATATTGAGAAACTTCGCGATATATTGAAAAGATTCTGAATGCTGATAGGTCTCATGAGCGAAAGCAGAAGAGGGGATGTGATAGTGCCGCACCGATGAGCAAAGATAGTAGTACGTTACTCGTTGCAATGCCGATTATTCCAATAGAAGCAATACTGCCTTTGTTCACAAAGAATGCAGGAACTGTCGAGGCAATTAGATGGATGAATATCATTAGGATGTGTTGACGTACTGTGAAAGCCAGTTAAAAGGCTGGGGAGAAAGATAAATTTCCAATTCCTATCCCAAACTATATAACATCGCCAAATCTGTCCAATGTCAGCTAAGAACTTTCACGGATTGCGTCTTGTAGTCACCAGGATAGTGTCTGCTATCAAGCTGCGAACGAAGTATGATGCTCGATAATCAGGACAGGGGATACTATAGACAACGATCAAAGAGATACTTGCCTAGAACTAAGTCCTAGATAAGGCGGCATGGCAGTAATCGGTAGCGTAGCGCATTCATCAAATGGTTCTGCCATCTGGGAACACCTTTCCGAGATATCTAGTGATGTGTCTGCGAGGAGATTTATTGATGCGAGGATGAATAGAAGAAGATTGGCGAATAGGTTGTATCTCTGTGACGCTTTATTCCGCTTCCACAGAATACGCATGCAAATAGTGAACGCCGATATGTAGACCCCTTCAATTCACGGAGTAAGTCATATTCAATTACGCGGGTTCAGTGTTTACTCACCGTACACTATGGACCGTACCTGTGAAATGAATGAGAAGCACGGTCTGTGACTCTATGTCTATACGTACGACAGTGGCAATCGTACTCTGTCTCGCCGATGTCAATGGGGTCATGTTGTGGCGGGGGGAGGTTGTATCTAGGGGAAAGGAAAGATCAGCTACAGCTACAGCTATATACCACTAGCTTTCCATGACAGAACACGGTGACTGTACTTCGGCGGCGGCCAGCGTACGACAGATGCAACTACCGAGACCGATCAATGATTCCGTCAGTAAAAGGAGTGGGGACAACGACGTTTCTGCGACCCGTCATAGTAGTAAGTCTCGGTATACAGTCACAAATGTGAACTACAAACCTATGGTAGAGTATTTAACCCAAAGAATCCCATCTCCTCGCTATGTTTGCTGAATTGACGACCTTGCTGGGACTTGATACCATCGAGTACAGCTTTGATGTGCATGTTATGGATGTTCGCCGAGAGAAGCATCGGTGTATCTATACAGCTTCTCCATAGTGCCTGTCATCTCTGCTGCGGGCGCTGGGACTACTCAAATCAATCGTATAGCCTTCGGATCCTGAATAGGAAAACAATCAGCGGAGAAATACAGCTTGAAAGCGCTGGAACCGAACTGTGAAAACCAAACTTCAAATCCGAACCAGAATCCACTAGAAAGCACACGTTCAACGCTCCACGTCTTGATTGCAACAGCCCGAGATGTCGCACATGCGACCTATACCGAACTAGAAGGTAAACATAGTTCATGAAGCACATGGTCACGATAACTCAGGAGAACCATCTAAATCAAATCAACGGGATCATCGGAATGTAAAAACTAGCTAGTTCGTTCAGCACTTCCGAGCTTAGCGTATACCCCACGGCCCTTGAAAGTAGTAGCAGTGCAAAAAAAATTGCCGATCTTATACAAATATGGGTGCTACCAGGGCTCGAACCTGATGTCCGGCAAGGCGAAGCTCTCAAGACCTTGAGGAGATTCCTCTCTACTATGACCCCTTGACTGCGCATGAACTATGAACAAGTACTGACCCAAACACCACATACCGAAACACACGAAAGATCAGACGAGAACCATCAACGGGAGCATCGGAATGTAAAGACTAGCGGCTTACAGCTAACTCGTTCAGCGTATACCGAATAGCCCTCGACATTGGTAGCAGTGTAAAAACGTTGCGGGGGTATACCGATATAGGTGCTACCAGGGCTCGAACCTAGGATCCAGAAATATGAAGCTCTCAGGATCTTGAGGGGATTACCGCTCGACTATAACAACTTGTATGAACTGAATAATCAATGTAATAAGCAAAGAACACAAACGCCACAAAAGACGAAAGATCAGACGCAGGAACAAACCTCAAGAACTCCAAACTGTCGCCGAAAACACTATAAAACTCGCAAACAAGATAGTTACGAGGTGCTACCAGGATTCGAACCTGGGTTTCGGGAATCCGCAATTTGAAGTTGCGCATCAGAATCCCGAGTGATAACCACTACACTATAGCACCCACACAAATATTTAATCTCTCTCTGACCCGGCATCGGATATCTTGACCGAACCGATGAGGAACATAGACGAGAGCCCAAGCGCAAGGGTTACCACCCCCGCGAACGAAAAGGAGAATGATAGGTAGATGTGAGGCTAAGGCGATAGTCTTGTCAAACGGCGGAGGAACGTGCAGGGCGATCAGATAATGAGAATGACACGGGTACGGAAAACTACGTACCTGGGTTCCACGTTATACCCCCATCACCTCCGCTTGTTCTTCCCCGAAACCAAGAAGTCGTGTTATTGAAACCAGAGGACGTCTATGATGAACGTGTTTGGAACGTTAATGTAGGCCCTCCAGGGCTGTATAGTCTACACCCACTCGATACGTGGAGTTCGGGAGAGCACTGTGAGTGGGTGTAGAGGGACATCAGATTCATATGTGCCATCGATCCTCTTGTCGTTCAATCCCAGAAAGTAGCAGGATTGTGAGACGCCCCCAGGGGACATGTCATCACTCATCTAGCACCCAATCTCTCACAGCTGCGCGGCGAATGCAGGTTACCGATGATCGATGAACCGAGGATGGTGGGGGTGTTGTTCTGATAACCGAGGATGGTTATAGGCCGGAGACTAGCGGATGTGAGGATTCTTGCGTTCGAGCAAGGCAGCATATTGGGAGCGGTGAAGGTATGCCAGATGAGGGAGATAGAGTGGACCATCGACTTGACGCTGGAAGGATGAAGATGTAGAGATGTGTGTGCAGAGGGAGGCCATGTGTCGTCTTTGAGCCCGGTCCCCGTAGCTTCATTCCTCAAAATTGCGATACCAACTAGCCGTGCCCATTGAAGGGATCGTGAACGAGGAGTGGGAATAGGAGGGACGAAGAGCGGCTATGGGAAGGGAGAGGCAGTGTCGTGCATCGGTTTGTCTGGGAGTGGGTGTAGAGTTCTGTAGGAAGCATCAGCTGATTCGGACATCAAAGGAGATGCGTTATCGCTCACCTAGGCTCCCATTTTCGACAATAAAGACCTGCAATAGCGACATGTGTCTAGTCCGCCGGTACTTGGTAATATCCCTATGAACGAAAACCGATGATGAAGCTGACCCAGGAGTTTCGAGGCTCGAACTGTGAGGGTATATCGACCAATAATCGTGCGGTTCTCGTCTTGGAGAGGTCGTCGTAGATCGCTCGGGTGAAGTCGGGGTATCGAATAGTCGAGGCAGAGAGAATCTTGGACTAGACCAGAACGGTAACTGAGCAAACGGCGACCAGAAAGACAGCGAAAGCTCACCCTATTCCATAGCCAGCTCATCCTCGCCATATTCCAACGGGTTTCCGACAGTAGCGCCCACCCTATTCACAGAACCTCACCGGATATCGTCCAGCCCGGAGTGGGAACGTGGATCGACCTGCAATTGGGGGCGAGATGAGGACACAACGAGGACGATAGCTGAGGAAAGAGAAATCGGAAATACTACAGTAACTCACCTATTGAAGGAGAGCTGAACGACGATGGACGTTGCGCTTCAAAAATCAACAAACCGCTTGCGTCATCACTTGTTCCTGACAAACCACGTGGCAAACACGCGGCCAGTAACCTTTGACGCTTTGACACCATCCCGCCTAGCTCAATCGGATAGAGCGTCAGACTCTTATCCGGAATAATGAATGCGGTGATCTGAAGGCTGCGAGTTCGACCCTCGCGGTGGGCTATTGAAAGTCAGCCATTCAGTCTTTTTTTTGCCTTCCTTGGCTCCCGGAATCACTCGCAGGGATTGTTGCAGCGTAGCGCTTTGTATAGTGGCTAATTTTCCCTGTCCATTCCCTGGATAGTGCTCTAAACTCTATAGCAAGTCAATATCCCAGAATCCACACACATCGTCCGTTCCCTGAAATTGCCCCAAAGGAAAAAATATATGTAGCTCCAACGGAGAGAGACGGCCATAAGCCATGTGGCCAAAACATGAGGGAGATGATGCAAGCGAGCTACCTTTGAATTATAACTTACGATCAGTAAACGTTTTTACTTACACTGCTACTACTGTCGAGGGCTATTGGGTATACGATGACCGAGTTAGCTGTGAGCCGCTAGTTTTAACATTCCGATGCTCTCGTTGATGGTTTTCGTGGGTTCCACGTCTGATCTTTCGTGTGTTTCGGTATGTGGTGCTTGTGTCAGTTCTTTTTCATAGTTCAACACGCAGTAAAGGTGTTATAGTAGAGAAGTGTTCCCCTCAAAGTCCGGAAAGCTCCGATTTTCCGGATCCCAGGTTCGAGCCCCGGTAGCACCTATTATTGGCATAAGATCAGCAAACGTTTTTACACTGCTACTGCTTTCGAGGGCCGTTGGGGATACGCTGAGCTCAGATTCGATACTTGATGCTAACTGCCTTGGTCCCGTTTCGGAACGAGCAGAAGTGCTGAACGAGTTAGCTTTTACATTCCGATGATCCCAAACGGTGGACTACAAGACTGAGGACCTGCTGAGGACACGTTTCAACCATGTGAAAAGGGGGCATTTTTGGTTCAATTTGAGCATATAATCCATTGATATGACCTTATCTACATCCTGAACCGTCCATGTATGGCAGGATGGCACTTTCACAGCATATCTTCAACGTGACAAGGTCGAGCTTGCCTAACAATCGAAACATTCCGACTTGCCTAAAATGGGAATAATCGCGCCAATGAATATCAAAAGCTACTCACCGTCGAACAAGCACCATGTCTGAGCCGGAATGAGAAAAATGTGAAGGGGGTCTAGCTGTTGCCCGACATCTCTTTCAATAACAATAACACTACAAAACGTTTTCCTCGTCTACTCCTTTAAAATTCCGATTTACTGAGTCCAGTGAGGGGCCCTGAACGTGACATCAAATGTCCGATGCTCGGGCCGTCATCAGTTCAGTCTTTAAATCGTTGAAGGCAATACCCAAGGTAACGCGGACGATGACGATGGATGTTGTGATACCCTAGACAGCACGCTCAGGAGCTACTAAGCTATGGAATAAATATAGTCACTTACACAAAGCGAAGGCCACACACGAAACAGGATGGCCTGAACATAGCTAATCTCACCGTAGTAGGGAATCGTCGTGTCATGTCCAAACAAGTAAGCACCTAAGGCCGTAATGGTAATCAAGAATATGGAGTAAACGATCCCAGACTCGAGGCTATGAGCGAAACACTTGTTGTTAGGCCTGCTTTCTGGAAAACAATCTTACAACTCACGTTGCAGAGATGACCGTTCGGTACATAGTCCGCGATTTGTTGTCGATGTATTGGGTAACGTGACGGCTTATCCTGTGAATCCTAAATGCTAAAGACCTTTTGAGTGTCATGATACACCGCATGACTGATGCGGAAAGCGCTCACCTATAAGAGACGAAAGAACTAGGTTATTCATTGCGATTACCCCCACTGCAAGCGCACCCGGAAGGTCTGGACCCCCGGCATTGGATAGGAAGTAGGGAGAGGAGAATAGTAGCCCACAAACTGCGCGAGTGACAGTGTGCGTAAGACTCGTCTTATTATCAAAGGTTGGTGGATGATTTCCTCACCATGAGATGTCACCCATGATAGTACGGGGCCAATCATCACTTTCCATTGTCTTCCCCAAACTACGTAACATCGCCATAGCTGCCAGTTGAAGTATATCAGCAAACACTTTAAAATACTAGACACGCTGTTACCAGAACGGTGTCTGCTATGACACTAGATAATCTGTGAGCCAGGTAGTCAAATGACAAAACCAGGATATTCCACACCTGCTAATCGGACCCGCATATGAACGAAGGTTGAAACTGGGCTCATCGGTGGGGGCAATATCTTCAGTTTGTTGCAATACCGTAATGTCCATCGATGTGCCGACAACAAGGGAAGATAAAGCGAGAAGAAAGATCGTCGTATTAGCGAGCAGGTTATACTTCTGCGATTTTTTATCCCGCTTCCACAGAATGTGGATACAGATCGCGAACGTTACCGCATATACACCTTTTTACAGTGAGAGAGATCATTGAGCGTTCAAAAGCACTACTCACCGAATATTGCCGAATTGATCTAGAATAATAAGTACGATGAGGATATGGACCGTTAGAAACGCTCATAATTCCACGTACCACTACAGATATCATAAAAACTCTGGCTTCTGTCCCCAAGGACATGTCGAGTAGCTTGTGAAAGGCAGAGGTAAGCAAGAGATATCAGTAATTCCACCCGCCGTTGCTGCTATATACCATGTTCGCTATGATCATCATCATTGAGCTCTTATAACGGGGAGTGGCACATGTGGCGCATCGTGACTTCTTGATGGTCCTGGGATGAGTATTCAGCTTATTGAACGTCAGGCAGGAACCTAATACTAATAATAGCCCGCACTTCCATTTCGGAACAGGACCCGGGTTTATTCGGCTCTGGCGTACCAGTTTTATTTAGCCCATCTATTATTTTTGCACTCGCTGGTAGTTTCCCTAGAGGTAATTTATAGGTGGGTGTTTACAGATTTCTCGTGGTCAGTGCAAGTCATTATCCTTGTGAATATTCACGGAACAGCGGGTTTTTTGAGACTCTGACGCTCGTGCTAGGTCTAGATCGTGGTTTTGTTATGGAAGAGCTTCAAGTTCATGTGTATGCATATCGGGTCATGCCTGCACAATTTGTCACTTTTTGAAGGGTCTTTTGTTAGAGGAAGTTTAACAAGGCATCCTTCGGCCGTTCTGTGCGAGCGGGCGTTACTCAATCCCGTGAATAAGCAGTTTGTAACTTCGCTTGATTCCTCCACCCTTTAGTTCCAATCAACGCTCAAATCATGGGTGGTGTTCATATATCAATCGGTCCGTTCGAATCACCGATGATATTTACTGGTGGCTGAGGATGTAGAGCGTCAATTGATGTGATATGTAACCCGAGCCCTGCACCTGCTGGGGTCAGTCAACGTAGGATAGTCAGCGATCACCGGCTAACTATAGTCATCCGACGTCGCCTGCCACCACTGACATTCACCATTGAGTCTATCTAACTATCAACGACGCCTGTTGGGCGAATCGACAAGGGATCTTGGATACTTCTCTTTCCCCGAGTCATTGTGATCATCTGCCTCGTTTGCATCCCGAGTTGAGCTATTTTTACCATCTACCACTGTATATGGGTTGGATGTACGACATCTTTGGCTGTTGGAATCAAGACATGAATCCTCTATTAGATCATCTAAATTTGAAGCAGGGCAGAGCGACGATGGACGTTGCGGTTCAAAAATCAACCAACCGCTTGCGTCATCACTTGTTCCTGACAAACCACGTGGCAGACGCGCGGTATGGATCCTTGACGCTTTGACACTGTCCACAGCCCGCCTAGCTCAATCGGATAGAGCGTCAGACTCTTATTCAGGTCCTATGGTGCTGTTTATCTGAAGGCTGCGAGTTCGACCCTCGCGGTGGGCTACTAATGATGTCCACTATGTTCTTTTGCTCCCTCAATTCCTGAGTCCGGTCGTGCATTGCAGCCCTCTCCAACCATTCCTTGGACAGCGCTCTACATGCCGTTCGGCGGAGATTGACTGGCGTAAGTCATCTGGTCAATACACGAGGGAGATGACGCAAACGCGCCTCTTTTGAACCGCAACTCTCATGCAACGAGGCAATCTACAGGTGCGTATCACTATTGTTCACTTCAGTTACATCTCAATGTATTGACCATACGCCTTTCGAATCCCCTAGTTCACGAGCTTCAACCCTTTACACACGATTGGACTAAACCCACTTAGAGATATTTCTATTCCTCCTTGAAGGAGTGCCACTGTTACATCTGAGGCAATGAAAACAAGTGATATTACTTGCTTACCTCCGCATTCCCCGACTCGAACTAACCACGAATCTCTACAGTCGCAGAACGGATTATCAGGTTTTCTAGTAGCGGCTTATCCTCACCGTCCCTGCTATCTCAAAACCATTTGTGAGTAATTCTATCCGCGTAGTCAATGACAATGATTTTGTTCCTCGCTACCTAGCATGCGTCACGGTATATGCTGTTCCCCGCCCATAGATATCATGCGGCCAATACACGAGGGAGGTGACGCACACCGTTGATCTGCCCATCAAGCAACGACGAAATCCGTTCAAGGTTCCATGGTCCCGACTCGCAACTCAGGATCATGCCTCCGCTAGTCGCTCAGTATAGGTTCTCGTCCCTTGAGAATCGCAGTATGTCTTGGAGATGTGCAATGCGATGATCAAGCGTCCTCGGTCGATAAGGTTAGCAAGGAATGCAATTCAAGGTGTCGCTTTGAGTATAATGCTCTTACTCAGGTGTGTAACACCTTTCTTCAATCTTTCATTACACGTTACTTCAATTTTACAGTGCTTACTAGATAGCTCTTCTAATGATCGACTATGGACATTTGACCGTTCCCAACTTATTGAACTCAAATTGCAGACGACGAGATAAACGAGCCATTGTCGGACTTCTTCGACCCGATATTAATGGGGACGAAACCATTATTTCACCTGACATCTCTGTCGAATAGAGAGGCATACGATTCCCATCCGTGACGGGCACAATCCGACAGCGCTCGCCTTGCAGCTCCTTTGCCGGGGTCCACAGCTATACAACGAAGCTTCAAGACGCCAAATGAAAGGATATCCCGGACCTTTAATCCAAAAAACTCTAAAACCTGGATGTACATGCGGCGATTTGTACCTGGCCAACAAAAACGTCACAGTGGTCGTCGTACTTTCGCAGAAGGGCAATCCTTTCCCAATCACTTGGCTCGGTGATAAAATATTTTTCACGGCTGAATTCTATCGACCAGATAAAAAGGAGAATCGGACTATCATTGTAACGATCGTGACTCGACATCACGTCCAATAACGATCACTTCATGCTGGTCTGATTTATGTTCCGGCGTTCTTGAATTATAACCAGCTGCTTGGGTTTGCGGTAGATTTGTTGGACGATCCACTTCCAGCGCCCCGACTGTGGTCATTTCGGTCCTCAAATCGTTGAAGGCAACACTGGGTCTAACGCGAACGATGACAATGGATGTTGTGATACCCTACAGAGATCATTCAGCATACCTTAAATAAAAGTTTAATAAATAAAAGGTCACGGCAAAGTACGACCACGCTCGGGTAAAAGACGAAAGGCGTCTCTACTCTAATGTAAGGCGGCTTGTACGCCGACGAGAGGCTCGATACGCGAGCGGGCGGTAACGCGAGGCCAAAGGCCGAGAGAGCACGATAACTCTGTAGATTGTGATAGGAGTACATAAAGCAAAGACAACGAATGTTGTGCGTACAGCCGAGTAACCGGCGTTATAGGTACAACGCTGTAGGTAAATAAGGACAAGCAGATAAATGATAAAGAATGAGATAAACCAAATTGAGGGGGCGCGTTACATCTAACCAATCACAAGAAGAGCCTGACGACTTCGTGACTTTTTGTAACATATTCACACCTGCCCAGATTCGATATCACGACCGATGACGAGTACCTTATCCCCAATCTTAGTGTGCTCTTTGCTCCCTTCTGTCTCTTGAGACCCTCTCACTTCCTGATCCTCCTCATCCTGCTGCTGTACTGTTCCAGGTCCTCTGACTGTCATTATTTCGGTCTTCAAATCGTTGAAAGCAATACCCAAGCTCACACGGACAATGACAAGGGAGGTTGTAATACCCTAATTATCAGATCAAAATGGAGATGGTATAATGGGAAACACAGACTCACAGCAACGGAAGGCCATGCGCCGAACAGGATTTCCTGAATGTTCTTATCTCGAAAGTATTGTCCGGACGGGGCAATCTGGAGAGCAGCAATGGTGATCAGAAAGGCGGCATAGATGACGCCCGATTCAAGTCTATAGCAGACATTATGTTATCAAGTCTTATAAAGAATGAAAATGAAGCTCACGTTGCAGCAATAACGGTTCTATACATATTCCGGGGCGAATCTTTAACGTATTGTGTAACTTGCCGAGCTATTGAGAATATTTTGAAGGCTTATACATGTCATCAGTGTTGTTAAACTACAGGAGAGGAAAGATGACCTCGAAGTAGCGCACCTATGAGGCAGGAGAGGAATAAATTGTTCAGTGCAATTCCTCCTATTCCGACTGTGTAGGACACATCGGCATTGCCAGCTGCTAGCACTACAACTATCGGAGGTATAAGTGAGCGTATGAATGAAAGCGATAAATATCTACCATGAAAGCCAAAGTAAAACAATAATGGGAAGATGACAACTCTCCATTTCTTTCCCCAGACTATGTAACATCGCCACATCTACAAGCAAATATTAGTAATCTCCAACAACTTTCTTTCGTCAAGTTACCAGAATGATGTCGGCCACCAAACTGAAATCTAATAATTAGCCAGGTTACAGAAGGAGAGGAGTGGCCTGGGCTATGAGCTGACCTACAGGCAATACCAAGAATTAGCGGGGATGGCCAAAATAGATAAAGAGATCCACTTTGAAGGCCTTCATTAACAAAAGCAGTGGAATCGTGGACAAGGTGGGACTGACTCAGCAACCGTTATTGTCCTCAATAATGAGATATTGTTTGATGTCATGAATACAAGGTTCAGCGATGCTACAGCAAAGATTATAGCATTTGCGAGCAGAGTGTACTTTTGCAACGTTTTGCCGCGCTTGATCAAAATGTGTGTGCATATGCCGAATATCACCATGTAGATACCTTGAAGGATATCAGATAGATTTCAAACATCCCAGCGAGGCTCGCTCACCATAGACGCCGGCATTCACCTGGAACATGACAGAAATAGTGAGTAACAGAACAACTCCTGAAACGACAAGAGCTTACCACAGAGGAAACCATGAAGAGCGTTGGATCAGGATCATAAGGTCCGAACATAATTCTTGTGGACGGTAGGATATGCAAGATGGAACAACTCTCATTATATACTAAATATTATTCTCATCAGCATTTGTTCCTGGGTTGATCACCAGGCAATGCAGTCAATATTGCATCCGCAACGAACAGATATCCAACTTCATATATCAATACGGGAGACCCGTTGACAACGGTCAAGATGTCCGATCCGTAATTGGGAAGTGGGGCCTCCACCGGAACCGCACCCGAAGGAAAGATGTTGACGATGAATCAGTTCTAGGAGAGCAATAAAGTTAGTACATGCTGCTCCTCGGAGATATAATGGTATAAACCATGTGGCAAATACACGATAGAGATGACTGCTTTTGAAAGGCAACTCTCGTCAAGCAGCGACGCAATCTGATCTAACCGTCCCAACCACTCCCTTTTGTGGGCATTCCACGATCGGGAATCCTTGATAAGGCAAGTGATGTTATCAGAGCACACAAACCGGCCATTTTCTGCCTTGCGAGCACAGAGTTATAGTCTTATTCTTATTGAGTGTAGGATGTCGATGATCCCTTTTATGGTCGAACTGAGCTGGACGGTCACAACTGAGGCGACATGAACTCCTTGTGTACCCCTACCTTATCAAAGCTTCGAATGATTAATAGCCTCGCCGTCTTGGAATGTCTCGGGGAGTGATTCTGGTTGCGAACAAGTTGCGAACTCAATGACGATCATTCTATTTCTCACTTTAAAAGGCACCACGGCGTATACGAATCAACAGGAACCTAATCCAAATCTCAAAGTCCAATTCAGCCACGCTTCTCTGAGTCGATCAGTCTCGAAATTAATGGGACGACAAGAAGTGAAACGATAAGCAATTTAGGTCGCCAACGCAACTACATCGAGCCCTACTCTGACCAACGTCGTACAGATGGCCTGAGGACTTCGTGATATTCACGGCGGCCCAGATTCGATATCGCAGCCTATGACGAGAGTACCTGGTCCCCAATCGAAGCGTGCTCTTTGCTCCCTTCTGTCTCTTGGATCCATCTCACTTCCTGATTCCCCTCGCCCTGCCGCTGTACTACTTCAGGTCCTCTGACTGTCATTATTTCGGTCTTCAAGTCGTTGAAAGCAATACCCAAGCTCACGCGGACAATGACAACGGAAGTTGTAATACCTTGATTAGCGCGTTAAGATGGAGATAGAACAATAAGAAACACAAACTCACAGCAAGGGAAGGCCAAGGGCGAACCAGGATGTCCACGATGTACTCATCTCGAAGTTGTTGTTTGTCTACTTCTAAGGCAAACAACCAGGCTATCTTCCCATCAATTCGGTACATGTCGATGTAGAGAGCAGCAATGGTGATCAGAAAGGCGGAATAGATGACACCCGACTCAAGTCTATAAAGCAGATATTATTTTACCAAGCTCTATAATGACATATCATTAAGCTCACGTTGCAGCGATTATGGTTCGGTGCATCTTGCGTGGCGAATCTTCAAGGTACTGAACCATTTTAATCAATTCGAACGGTCACGGGTCACAAGGCCTTTGTGGTTCGAAAATTTTCGAACGGTCACGGTGGGACAATGGCCTCGTTTGA